GCATGGCTGATCCACAGGTTTATAAGTAGGCCTATTGGTGCTGCAATTCGATCATCAACTGGTTGTCAAAGCACGCAGGACGTTCTGTTTCTTCTGAAGGAAATTAATAACTATCAAGTAGAATTCGCCAAGGCCTGGTCAGAGGCCAAACTCGTTGTCTTAATATGCCCGGGGATGCCGTTTCCCGCGCCTCTTGACACCACTCCTGATATGCTTATTTCCGGTTTAACCAATTACGTCCTACTCTACAACGTCCTTGACTATCCGGCTGGAGTTCTTCCTGTGGCCAAGGTGAGTGCGGCAGACGTCAAAGCGTCAAAAGACGCAGAGGAGGAGTATCGTCGAAAGGGAGATTGGTTGAACGCGAAAATATCGAGTCAGCAGGAGGGTACACAGGGACTGCCGATTGGGTTGCAGGTTGTGGGCAAGCCGTTGTGTGAGGAGATCGTACTGAGAGTGATGCGTGAAATTGAGCGAGGTGTTTCAGATGCGTGATCTGTGTTTTTTTTTGTTGCACGCTCTGCTTTGTTGACTCACTGTCTTAGACTTTAGCCTATAACTACGTGCTTAATATAACAGATTTCATTTTTATGCAAATCTTATCTATCTGGTTTCATATGTAGGGGAAGTTGGGTTTGGGGTTGTGGGTGGTATTATTTATGTTAAGGGTGATCGTTTAGCCGATAATTTGGAGGTTGGACATTGTTTAAAGCAATTTGGTTTGACAGGTCGAGTTACTAATCAGTAGGTGTTTGAATGTTTGAGTGAGCCGTGTTTAACAACATCGTGGCTGCGTCGACGTGGGGTGGCTTCTCTGGGTGGCAGTCATGAGTCCGCTTGAGTATTTGTTATTGATGTGTCAAAAATCCAGGGAGCAACAAATGTGGGGAGGCAATTTCTGCCCCTTAAGAATGCCATAAGGTCTTTTCGATCATGGTGGGGGTGGTTTGTGTCATCCAATTCGTCTCTTTAGTTAGTTTTAGTCCGGTGAAATTTGTGTTCTACATAAAACCTCCGTGATTTGGGTGTCATGGTAGGTATCAACGAAATCAAGTGCACGCACGCTGTTTTATGGATTAAATGGTGTCGATGTTGGTACCGCTCAGTCCGGTAGTCTCAGCAATCAGGAATCCCAGATTACGCTAATTGAGGTTGCAGTTTTCCAATACAATTTTCGCCAAACTGAAGCCTTGGGCTTCTGACGATAGCACAATTACGCCCGGCTTAACTTTCTGACCATCGTGCAGCGGAAACCCTATTGGATTGAGATCTGCCATGGTAGCCGCAAATTAAATGTACCCATCAAAGCAGCAGTCGGGAATCTGCATGAGTGGCTGGGAAATCGGCTGAACTGCCAACAGCGTGGGTGCGACAAATGAGGAGACACCATGTCCCTGTTGGACAGGATATTTCTGCGAATGGAAGCCTCATTTTTGATCATTAAATCTTAACGAAAATTTCATCCACTTAGCCGGGTAGCCCTGACATTTGCCCTTTGTTATCACGTACAACCTTAAAACTGTTGATGCAGGTGTTTACACGGTCAATGTTAAACACAATACGCAGATCGAACTGCCGAATTTGTAGTCTCTCCTACCTGCCTCGTCCTCTTTTTAGTCAAATTAGACAACTAAGACTTCTTGGACTCGGAAATTATAAAGACAAAAAGCCATTGCCATATCATTTATTCCGGAGAATAACCCGCATGAAGTTGATGCTGTGCGGCATCAGCAATGTTTTTCGGCTACGGCTGTGTCATGCGTACCTCTGTTGTGGACGACGTGCGTGTCGTTCGCTTGTTTCGATGAGGCGAAGCATGAAAAAAGCATTAAACCGATTGTGCTCTTGATGCCGTCGACAGTCAAACGTGGATGCAGAATGATTTGGATCACATTCAAGTGTCGCATCCTTTGCGAAAGTCCTGGGGCTTGCTTACAAAGGTGAGGCTTTTGATGAAGCTCCAATTGGAAGTAGGCTTGATTGTACAATGCTGACATTTTTTGTCAAGATTTCTTGCAACCCCTCAAACACTGAGTCTGCAGCTTCTTTGCCGCTTTCTTGCGGATTGTGTCACCAATTGCGAGTGCGTTTGTGGAAAACACAATATCGTCCAGCAGTTTCATTGGTTCATGAACGGGGTTTTGTGTGGCGAGGATGACAGCTTCGTCTGCGCTGATGGCCTTTCCAACGCCAGTAAAGATAGCGACATGCCCTGAGCTACCGCACCCGTTTAGCAATGAAAATGGTTGAGGCTACAATCAATGGTCGTCACCATTCGTGCTGCTCCAGTGTAGCTCAGTTAATCTCATTGCGCAGTGCTGAATACTTGCTCCCCGCACCACCACCACCAACAATTACACAGCAACGTGACAGTCTACAAAGTGCATTTTTTTTGCCCATGGCTCAGTGAAATTTCTATCGGAATCACTCAGTGCTGCAGGAGACGTGGTTTGTCACCTTAATGCGGTTAATGTGATCATTAGGCAAGTCCTTATTAACAGAATATCTTTAAAAAGTGCAGCCCCAATTTGCATAAACAGCAGTTGGTCTGTCTGAAATGCCCTTTTAAAAACAAAAATTTTCAGCCATTGAGTCACTCATTGTTAACGGAAGAGAGGCTTCTGAAAAGTTTAAAATAATTCACCAATATTTAGGGTCACCAAATATTGTGCTTTGCCTAATGTTGCTTACACGGATAATGGCATTTTCTCCCCCTCCAATCCCAGCAACGAAGGAAATACCTTTCACCTTCCAGTAGCCTCATCTTTTCTAAGACCTCTCATTTTGGCTGAACTCTGAGACGCCTTCTCCACGGTGATTATTCCACGCGAAAACATTTAGCACTTATTTACAACTCGGACACCACAGATGACTTTCAGTGAATGCGATGGACAAATGGTCAGATATATGGAATGCAACAGACAAAAACTCTACGATTGCAATATTATTGCCTCAGATTGAGATTTGTAACCAGTAGACACTCATCCAGAAACTGTGGTCTTTGAAGCATACATTAACGTTGCTCCTTCGAATTTCGGTAATAGGTGCCTTCTTCGTTCAGTTTGTGTCAGGTCAAAGTTGGTTTTCTGGCGTGTTCAATGTTATCTTACACAACGCACTAATTCGAGCTCTTTTGGTAGCCCTTGCGACATTACAAGGCAATCGGTACCACAACTAACTGTTCAAGTAGGTTCTCAAAACCTGAGCGTCAAAGAAGGACCACCGCAAACATAGCCACTCAGGCACATGTCTCTGTCGGGGGTTAGTGAGAGAAGGAGGGTTTGGAGGGTCATGGTCTAGTGTTTCTTCCAAATGAATAACCAGCCCTTCCTTTTACTGCATTGTATATTCTATTTTTGTGTGTCGTGAATCTCCAAACTGGAAAATAACTGGAAGAAAATCGGTCTCTGGGAAGACCTATGATAGACTGTAAATCTGGCAATGTTGGAACCTGCGCATACTATGCCAAGAACGCTATAATCACTAAAATTCTAATTGCAGTTCCTTTAAGAACTAAAGTCGTTTAAAGTGCTTGACCCAGTAGGAATAATGAACAGCAATATTATCTTGAGACGGTATATGTTATTTGTCAGTCCAAAAGCTGCATTTTCATGCAGTATTGAGGACAAAGAAGTGGTAGGAGAGACAGACAAACAGCATATAGTGTTTAATGTAGGCTCAAACACAAGCTTTCACAAAAAGCGGAACTGGTGTCGCCCAAAGCTGCACAGCCACTTTAGCAACAAGGTAGACGAAGGTCAAGTAAGTTTCAGTGGTTGGACAACGGGAACGCTCAGTGTTCTGCAGCTCATCTAAGATGGTAAATTCCACTTTCGAATGTCACGGTTGCCGAAGTCAAGATGTGCATACTAGTTGGACGAAGACCCAGTGTGTTTGTGTCATATTAACACACAAATGTATTTGTCGCGGATGAAAAAACCTCCAGGTCCCTCCCACTTATACACAACTACTTGGAGTCTCAATGTTCTTAAAATAGCACACCATTTCGAATTGAGATATCCAAGTAAGTATTGTGGGCCCATTGGAAACCAACTCATCGAACAAAGAAACGATCTCTCGCCGATAAGGCAAGTCTGACTAGATGGGTGAGAGCGGCGAGTAATTGAAAGATTACAATTAGCCCCAGTGCATAAAAGGCTTCATAATAGCAAGACGACATTAAAGCATTTTACAAGCGTGGAAGGACTCAGCACGAATAACACAAGAGAGAGATAAGGCAGAAACGAGGGATGTTCAGTCGTTTGTTTTGTATTTAAAGGGGCAGATATTTACTATGCACAAGAATTAGATTTGAAGAAACGTCTGACACTAATCTTTGGATAAGCGCTGCTCCTTGACGTGTACTCAAGATAACCTATTTGATTCGTGTTCTCTCCTGATTGGTAATAATGATCGTACGTTGATTTCCCAATGTAATTTTGGAAGAGTCTAAGTGACTTCCTGCAAAATATGTTTCCTTAAATTTTTGTATTGTGCAAATCATTTATAGTAAATACGTATTACTCTGTTTTCTCCAAATTAAGAAAATTTCTAATTTCACTGTGCTAGTGGGTGCATATAACGTGCAAGAAAAAGCCAAGTTAGCGGAAACCTTATTAAGGCTGTTGAAAAAGTCAATAATGTAAGTTAGAAAATGATAGGGACTCTAACTGATGTGCATTTCTTTCTAAACTTGGTTAGATTTTATTTCCTGCTGCTTTGACTAAGGTCAAGGTCAGCCTTTTTCAGGCTATGGCGGAAATTTTTAGCCTGAAGTTGTTCTTTTTCTTTTAGTCCGCTTTTTTGTGAAGTAGATGTCGATTGAGAGCCTTGACTTGCAGTGATGGCTGGTCATGAACTAAATTTACATTTCATTTAGAATAATGTCGTGATCGCGTTTTTAAATGGGGGGCTTGGGTCATTGATGATGGTAAAAAGCAATATGTGGTTCTCGTCTCCCGAATACAATACTTGAACAGTTCTGCTTTGTTAATCCTTTTTTGTAGTCTGTGTTTGCTGTTTTGAGTGACATGAGTGTTAATGTGCATCTCGAAGTGTACAGCTACCAGCGGTTAACAGGTATGAAGAGTGAATAAAGAATGACACAGCACAGTTAAGTTCATGGTCTTAATATACTTTGATCCCTATCCGAATTGTAGTGCAGGCGCGTTATTTGCTTGACAAATAAGACTTTTCTAGGTATTATAAGTCTTGACCGTCCTGTTAATATTCGGAGTTGCAATAAGTTACATAGAAGCACTTACCATACTTTTTTTTATTTTAGAGACAAGTATGGCGGAGCTGGTTGATGATTTTTGGAACTTTCTGACAGAAGTCGACAAATGGAAGGTCATTGGAAGCGTTTCTATCACCTTTCTGACAATTGTGCTAATTCGCCGCATGGCAAGGAAGAGAAATGTTATGGGTCGTTTAAGAAAGAAGCAGAAGCAGTTGCAGGAAGCTCGATCGCGTCTCCGGGACCGGGTCCGAACCTATCCTCCTCTTTCGCACCTCAAGGAACTCGATGCTCTGCAGGTGCAGCAACGCCTTCAAGCCAATGAAATGACACCTCTGGAAGCTCTCCGTTTATACCAGAAACGGATGGTTGATGCGTTGGAAAGTAATTGCATCTGCGAGATCATTGAAGAAGCTGAAGCAGTTGCAATGTCAGTTTCCGCAGACGTTCAATCACCGATTCGCGGAATGCCCGTCAGTTTAAAGGAGTGCACCGAGGTCGCTGGTTATGATTCGCCGG